ATTCCATTTCTTTTGTCTGAATTCTCAATGTGCCAGTTTTTAATGGTAGGGCACAGAATACCCAATAATGTAATAAAAGGAGCAACTTTGTTCATTAACAGTTTGATAGCTTACTTTATACTGTGTTTCAAAAAGTTGCGCCACCAGCAAAGAATAAATCAAAACCAAGTTATTGGTCATAAACAAGTCTTGTTAACTGCCTATTATTTTGAGTACACATTTAGGGCCTTAAAGATACGATGCTTTTTGCCACCTCCATAAATACGACCCTTAGTTTTCTGCAATGTAACAGAATTTGCAAATTCTCGTTCTACGTTCGTAGTCAAGTAGACTTATTTCCCTAAATGCAATTCAAGCAATTTACTTAATGTATTTGTTACAGAAAAATTACCAACACAAAGTACATTTGTTTTATGTATAACAATACGGCGATACTAAGTCAGACATCAGCATTATTTTATAGGTGACGGTTTTGACACAGAAAGGTTTTAATTGGTAATTAATATTATGGACTACTTGTGCAAAAGAAAAATTTTTCAATGTTTGAGTTAGAAATGGTTTATTTTATTTTACGAATAGCTTTGAACTAGCGGAAGAGCTTTAATTGTTTAACGTAGATATTTAATGAACAAACCAGTATTACAGAATTCTAAGTTAACAATCGGGAAATATTAAAACTCTGTTTAGTGACACAAAGGGTTAAAGTATTTTTCTCCACAGGAAAATTTTCCACAAGTACAAAACCACAAATGCAATGTAGCACTCCGTTGCACTTATGGAGATTTTATTGTACGTACGTATATACTATAAATAGGATCTCAAAGTATTTTTTTAAATAACTCTTTGACTTGTGTCATTACTTGTACTGTGGCGTAACGGTTGCCGTAAAACAAGAAAAGCGATTGGATTCTGCAGCCAAGACGCGATATTCCATTATATAAAATATGCAATATTGTTCCGAAGACGAGGAAAAAGCAAAAAAAATAAAGTTAGCAGAAACAACAATAACAATACTGATAATAAAAGCGTAATATTATCTCGAAGCAACAGTTTATCCAGCACATCATTGATCTCCTAATATCTCGCGAGCATGACAGTACAGTTGGAGCCAATCCTAGATTTATTATCGAACGAAATTGTCTATAAACAAAACTTTTAGTGTAAAAATAATTCTGAACATACTCCTGTATGAATTAACCAAGTCATTATTTCGTACTTTAAACAAGCATGGTATTAATCCAAAACACTTTTCAAAATTATATGGGTGTTAAATCCTTTTGTTGTAAAGTTACGAGTCACTTTTGTAGCAAAATACATTATTAATCTCCAGTGTCTGATTGCTTACACTCGGAGGTTAAATACAAAGCACAGTGATTACTTTCATGTTGTTAGGACAAAGGAATTAATTCTTCGTCTACCCAATTTCTTTGCAAAATTTATAACACTCAAAATTCTTACATTTCGAAACACCTACCGCTATTAGATGCGTCTTTTAGAGTTCAGTACCAGCATATTCAAAACTGCTTTTACAACAGATTCGAATGTGAAAAAAGAGTACGAAAGACTTCAACGCAGTCACGACCTGAATCGACGTGGTTGACAGGGAGTCACGTATAATGTAATCTAGTTATTATTCAACTTCTAGTATTACATCGATTGCTTTTAGCAAAATTAAACCAAAAGCCATCAGTCGGGCAACATAACTAAATTACGCATACAAATTAAATAATAATCCTAAGTTTTGAGAGATTAAATGTGAGTATAATCTTAGAAATTTGCGGTTGCAGAATAAGTTTTAATTCTCAATAGTTCACAACTATACCCAATTGTTTTTTACCAAAAAATATTAATAACGAACGAAATAAATAATTACTTTGAACACAGGTTTTTATTAAAATGTAAAAAACTATTCTACATAAGGAATAATTAATATGATCCGAAAATTCGACAAAAGATTCTGTTTGCTATATCGCCAAAGGCAAGATTTTCGGATAAATGAGAAAACTAGTACAAATTACACACGACAAGAAACTAGGATATAGCAAGTAATAACATTTGAAAGCCTATTTTCCTGATACGGACTTGTTTCTTGCTTTCCTTAAATGGGCTTATTCTTGTCGGAGTTTGCGTCCGTTGTGCCAAGATTTCAGAACGCCGCAGTCACACAGATCGTTTGTACCACATAGCGGAATCAACGGAGAATTACGTCACATCTAACCGTTATAATATACTGACACAAAAAGTGTACAGTATATATCGTTTTCAGACATGCAGACATGCTTTCAAAAATGTATTATTTCTCTTCATATTAGATCTATCAAACCTGCTAACTCAATATATAAATATATGTTTGTATAAATATTACCACACAATTATAGATTATATTCATTCAATATCAACTCACGTTCCAATATCAACAAGAGTCGAAGAAATGTTGATCTTGTTATCACAAACTATTTATCTTCTCTCCTCTTCACGCTTCATTACTTTTTGCAAAAATTGTTACAAATGTAACAACGAAAACAAAAAGTAAAAAAATAATTGGCGAAAAGCGAATGGGAAATCGTTTGGCGAGTCCAAATGGAAGAAAGTATTGCTATTGTTTGAAGTTGCACCACCTCACATTATAATAATCACGGAACTTAATTTACTCTGTATCGCCGATATACTTAAACCATGTTAATATATATTAAAATGTTAATATACTTTATTGAACATAGTCAAAATACATTCAGCAACTGTTCCCTCTTTTACTTGCGAAATTTGTCAAACAATTATCCATATTTGTTAGTAAATGCTATACCTTTGCCAAGCGTTTGAGACTCATTTACTTCCATTTGCATGTCATACTAATACAAACAGGGAACGCCAACCCACCTTTTCTCTCCTACGGACAAACGTTGTAAGGACAATTAAACCCTATTAAAGTCTCTATCGACAAATTTTGCCAAAATTAGTATAAGAGATTTACTATGTTTAGGTCACAAATCCCATTTATACATTTTTCGTGGAAAATCTAACCAATTCGAAAGTTCCGTAAATTTGATTTAATCTAAACAATGTAGCATGTTATTAAGCATTGTTTAGTATTATTATTATTTAAAAAATTTAGCTATAAAAAGACGAGGCTTGCACCTTACGTTAAGTAATTTTCTCTGCTGCTCTATTAATTTTCGAATACTCAGAAAGCTTTTTTTTTTTCTTCAGAATTTCTACCACAATGCTCATCAACAAATATTATCTTCCATTAATACTTTGTCTCATACTTCTTTTGACGTTTACCACTGCGAGCTACATTTCACCAAACGAACTTGGCAAACGACAAGATGATGGCGGCGATGGTGATGGTTTTCCCGATCCTTTCGGTTCCGATCCTGATCCTGATGGTGGGGATGGCGGGGATGATGGGGATAATGGGGGCGATGCTCCAATACCTACGGATGACGCTCCTACACCTACGGAAGTTGACCCAGCACCTACGGACGATGCTCCTACGCCTACTGACGACATTCCTACATCTACAGATGCTCCTGCGCCTACAGATGACACTACTACGACGCCTCCTACTCCATCTCCCAGTGCTCCAGCTAACCCACCGCCAGCTAACCCACCACCTGTAAAACCACCGCCTGCTAACCCGCCTGCCAACCCACCGCCTGTAAAGCCACCGCCTGCCAACCCACCACCTGCTAATCCGCCAGCTACTAATTCATCAGCTACTAATCCACCAGCTACCAACCTACCAGCAGCTAACACG